AGGCCAAACAAAATAGTTTCGCTTTCACAACGAAACACACAGCGCATTCACAACAGGTGTGGCTGACTCTGAACTTTTATAAAGAATATCTCTTTGGATTTGAGACTTTAGTCTTTGCAACTTTACAGATCTTCTTTATGCACCAAGAGCTTGTAACACTCCAAAGAGAAAGGAAAAACTGAAATCGCATCACATGACCCCTTTAAAAAGATGACCTTGTTGTCGGGATATTAAGCATTGTCTGTGTAAGACTAAACAGTAAACAGTCAATAAACATTCTAAATAAAAATAAATCAACAAAGAAACCACACAAAGCTCTATTTCATCCTTATTGTCTGCAAAATGACAAAAACAACATCCATTTTTAAGGACACATTAAGAGCTGTCAACAATATTTGCACCAACAGGAAATACTACATTTGTGTGTCACTTAGTTAATTGCTCACACAAAAAATACTTGAAATAAAAAAACAGAAGTTTTCTTCTTTTTGTTCCTGAGGTGCATTCAAGCGAGGAGAATCTAACCTGAGAGGGGGATGGCACCTCAATGCTGACGTTTAGGTATGTCCTGACATGGTTGGGGGTGTGTGGATGGTGAAGACCTCCTTTACTTGTTCCAGGCATTGGATCCGAGCTGGTGGAAGGTGGTGATGATGGAGGGGTAACTCTCTCCTGATTGGAGGAGAAAGCTCTGGATGAAGAAGGGCCGGTTAAACCATCTAAAATACGAGCAACAAGAAAGGTATGTTAAGAGTTAGATAACAACATGAATCCTACACTTCATATCCTATAAATCCAGGGTTCTTCAATTCTGGCCCTGCAGAGTTTAGCTCCAACCCTAATCAAACACACCTGAGCAGAAAAATCAAGGTTTTCAGAGTAACCGGTAGGTGTGTTTGATCAGGGTTAGATCAAAACTCTGCAGAACAGTCCAGGGCTGGATTTGAAGAACTCTGTCCTAATCACACTGCTCTGACCTTGTGCTAGAGGGTCTTTCCTGGGGCTGTGGGCAGGCTGTTTGGCCAGCAGCAGGTCTTTGATCGAGCGACCACGAGAGGGCCCTTGTCCTGATGGGTCTGCATATGATCCCTCCAACTGCTGCACCTGCAGTCCCACTCCCCTCATGTCCTTTACATCCAGCTTCATGGCATAGAATAGCTTAATGGCCTCTGCTGCAATCAGCTGACCACTGTCAGTGGGCTGAGCTAGTAAAACAGACCTGCAATGTGACAGTATTGAGAATCTCAAACATATATAAAAAATAGAGTTTGCTTATCAGTCAATATTAAAGATTTAAATTAAAGTTAATTAAATCTATATCGGTTGATATTGGATGTTTAATTGTGCATACTCATTTTTGCTTTTTTTCTGCTTTTTAAATTTTAATTACCTTTGCTGTCATGTAACAAAGTTAATATTGAAAAACACTTATAATTGAATAATTTCTTTCCTTAAGCAAAAGTAAAAAAAAAAAAAAAAAAAAAAAAATTCATATTGTACGTTACAATGATGCCTAAATTCACTTGCCGCATAAAAACTAAAAAACTAAAATCAGATATTTTATATTTAGACAAAATTGTATAGAATTTTAATAGTACAACATGAAAAGAATTACCTTTAGCTTACTGGTATTAGCCAGAATTTTAAATGTAAATTGAGCCTGTTTTCTAAATGCATGTTATTGAACTTATTGTGAATGATTCATCCATGCATGTGTTTCATTTTTTTATTTTTTCCCCATAATTCTTAATCAAAATGTCATAACTTGAAACTCTACTCATTAGTCTGCTTAAACACCACAGCTTTCTTACTAATCAACTGCAAGCTTGCATTCAGATCTGTCTCCATTCAATCAACAACCACAAATTGAACCAAAATGTTTTCTTTTTTAATAATCCGTTTCACTCAGATGTACGTCACAATAGAAATGATCTGTAGCAGATCACTACCCAAAAACAAATGCACTGGTTATTTGATAGGACATTGTTAATTTATCCTGGTGCAAGTCACCTGGCAAAGTTGTCACATATCCCATGGCCACCATATTTGGCTGGCTCTACTGGAGCCCCTGGTTTCCGCATCATGACCTTCAGTGTAATACGGCGACCTCTAAGCCCCACCCCCTCCATCCTCTTCTGCACTTCCATAGATAGGTTCGTAAGGAAAGACTCCGCCTCTTCAACCTAGCAAAGTATTAGCGGTAATGGGAAACTTATGAGAGAGGTCAACGGACTGAGGACAATGACAGATACAGGATGATTTGCAATGATTGCTGTAACTTCAAAACCTGTGTGAACCGAATGTTGTAGTTCATCTCAGCAGACACAGACTTCCTCTCCTTCTCGCTGCGCACAGGCCTGTCATCCAGTCCTCTGCAAAAGCGAAAAAGTGTCTGTCCTGTCCGTGGCCCAAACTCCCTCTGCAGTCGAGAAATGGACAACTGCTGCAGGTCACCGCAGGTACTCACACCCAGGGAGGTCAGCTTGGAGCTCATTGAGCGACCCACACCTGCACATAAGAACACAGAAGCACCGGTCCACACATACACAAATACAGCAATAAATTCCACTGTAAAACACTGCATTCAGATTAAAATACCCTACCATTCAAAAGTTTCAGACCAGTAAGATTAATACTTTTTTCAGGAAGGATTAATTCAATTGATCAAATGTGACAGTACAGACATTCACAATGTTACAAATTTTATTTCAAATAAATGCTGTTCTTCTAAACTTTCTATTCTTCAAAGAATCCTGAAAAAATGTGTCAGTTTCCACAAAAAGCAGAACAACTGTTTTCAACGGTTTCAGAAATGTTTCTTGAGCACAAGCATATTCGAATGATTTCTGAAGGATCATGTAACACTGAAGACTGGAGTAATGGCTGAATAAATTATATTTGAAAGTATATTAAAAGAGAAAAGTTATTTTTACAGTTAGTTTTGTAATAATATTTCACAGTATTACTACTTTTGCTGTACTTTTTATTAAATAAATGCAGCCTTGGTGAGAATAAGAGATGACTTTCAAAAACATTTAAAAATCGTTCCAAACTACCTAAACTTTTGAATGGTAGTGAATGTAAGATGCTCTGTTCTTACCAGGCAAACTGGAGACAGGTTGATCCCTGATAAAATCATCCACTTCCTCTGATCTGAGGAAGTACTGGCCATTTGGTTTTGCCTTACGAGTTGCCATCCGAGCAAGAAGGATGTTGGAACCTAATAAGAAGTAGAAGGGAAGTTACAAAAGCTATTAGAGATGAAAGCGCACTAGCAACTTCGTTACAATAAAACGCATTGTCATTAAACTTCATGTCCATCATGTTGTTCCAAACCTCTATGACTTGTATGAAAGGTGAATTTTTAAAGAATACCCCAGGCACTCTTTTCAAGTTAAAAGTAAGTAAATGAGGACTAAAACTCTCAAGCTCCAAAAAAAGTAGTTTTGCTGTACCTGACTTTGGCATGTTCATGAAAGCTCATGTGAGAAGTACAATTTTATTGTTTGGCTTTAGAAGACTTACGGAATATAGCTCATTAGTTTTATGATACATTTATGGTGCTTTTGCATCCTTTCAAAATTCTTATTCATTGTAATTGCATGGAAAGAGAATGAAAGAGAGCAGCACATTTTTTTTTATTTCTCCTTTTGTGTTCCATGGAAGAAAGAAAGTCATAAAGGTTTGGAACAAAATAAGGGTCACTAAATAAATTCTCTTACCCATTCCAACTGAGGCAGAGCAACCGGTCTTCTCCTTTATGTCTTCACGGATGGCTCGTGCTAGATCATCAGGAGTAACCCCCAGCTCAACCAGAAGTTTTGTGGCATCTACCAGCGCCTCGTCACAACTCAGTGCCTCAATGTTATGAGTGTAACTATAAAACAAGCAACCATGAAGCAAGATAATTTTTGCATTTGTCTGCTGGGTTTAGGAATAATGTAGCAATCCAAAAAAAGTTATATCTGGTACCTGGCCAGGGTCTCATACATGGACAGTGCCACCTCTTTATATGCCTGGAAGTCATATGGGACACACTGCAGATCAGGACAGAGCTGCTTAGCCCGGCCAAAGAACATGCCGTTTCGCACATCAGCCTGCCTGTAAGAGAGAAAAACGGAGTAACAGGTACTGATGGAATTCATACTGTATTAAAGACCTTTGTGGTCTCTATTAGTCTGTTAGCTTTGATTCCATCTATATCAGTGGTTCTCAACCAGGGGGCATCAAAATAGGACAAAATAATTATTCAAATATGATAAAAAAATACAAATTATGGTCTTAGACAATCAAGATATACTGTATGAGGAAGTAAATTGATTCAAAGCTGATTTACACTTACAATTGTGACTTGTAGAAAACCTAGAGAAGTCATGTAAATTAAGAAAATATTTAAATGCCATTTTATACATACATATATATTTTCTAGTTATGCAAAGCTCCAAAATATTTAATCAGGTAGACATTCTAAAGTATTTTAAAAATCCTTAAACAGTAAAAGACAAACATCTAAATGAAAAAGAATGGTATCCCAGAAAAACATTCAGCTTCTGAATAATTCTGAAACTTATTTTAACTTAATTTAATCTAAAGGACACTCCTAGTTTCTGCAAATTAGAGAAAAAGTTTTGAAAAACAAAACTGTCATTACAGCAGATGTTCCAATGGAAACCAGTAGCCTAAATGGGTGGGTG